TGCCCCAGAATAAGCAGGAATGGCTATTAAATTTCTTGATGTGCATTGAAGATATGAGAACATTATTTAATAGTGAGATGGCTGCTCATCATTCATTTAAACGTTTAAATGTTTTTTCCGTGTATGCACCACCTTTACCTTGCCTTGTTTCAACGCAGCAAAATAATCCTGCACGTCACCGATCCCGGGTTGAGTGACACCTGCAGCAAGATTAGAAGTTATTTGGTCAACAATTAGAAGTTATTTGGAACCCTGCATGCAGGATATTTGGATATTTGCAGGTGTTGAACCGTATGCTTCATGCGTACCGTGGTTGCAAGAGATGCTCGGTGCGATGTTGTCATGTGAAATGTTTTTGATGTAATTATGGTTGTAACCCTTGTATGAATTCGAAGTCGAATTCACGAATATCGGCGTGGATGTCATTACGCGTACGTAATTTCCGTACTTGATGGTAATGTACTAACGTCACACTTTTGACGCGGAGTCTATGGACGTCTTTTTCTGTAGTTCTTCACTTCGCGGGGACTTGCGGAACTTTAACTTTAATGTTGGTTTATTTATTTGTTGGTTTATTAATATTTGTATTTCACTAGATTAGTGCTTTGCGAAATTTATGAAAGAGATTCTTCCTAATTAAATTTTAAATACTGCTAAAAGAAAATAAATGGAATTTTTAGAGCGGAACCTACAAATAAACTAGTATATATTGAGTTATCGGCCTTTTTTGTTCTTGGATTTGGCCGATTTTAGGTAACCTGAATTACGTATGTACCACTACGTCCTGGAGAAATACGTTTTGTGGTACGCATATGTACCACTTCGGAGTCAACGTGTTAATATCCTCTGAACATGGGTAAACCAGTTGAAATGTTCAAATTATATCAATCGTAAGTTTCTTATTCTAAAGATGCCATGCACCAAACCAAAACTGCAGCGTTCAAATACATTTTTTACAATGGTAACTACATTACAGCGACACTTGTGGCTCCATAGAATATGATGTGCCTGTAGTATTTTCGCATATCTGTAGGTTTATTAGTGGTTTATTGTCTCAATGTATCGTGTTTGTGTCTTAATGTGACTAGTGTTCGGTCTCAAAGTGGGACGTGCAAAGAAATCTTCCAGCAACCGATCTGATGTGCCTCTACCTCGGCTGCTCAGCTTAGCCTTCAAACTATGATAGTCAGAGCCCAATTGAGACAAGCTAGAGATGTATTGGCTTGATTCGAGCATTACGTGAAATACTACCAGATTCATGTACATTCGTTGTCACTTGTATGAAGATAATGGCGTTAAAAAACTTGATTAATGTACCTATACTCAAAAGATATCAATCGTTCAGAAGTTAAGAATCTGCTCACTTGTCACTCCAATAAGTCACTCCAATGCTCACTCACTTGTCACTCCAATGCTCAAGAAATAAGGTCGCTAGTTTGTTATTTTATCTTGTATAACTCATGCTTTTGAATATTCCGAGTGTAATTCGACTTGGGATCTGGCTGACATGAATCAATACCTACCAAAGTCGATTCAAAATCAGCATAAATTACAAAGGGATGTTTGATAGTCTTTTGAAAGGCCTTGAATTTTAGTTTCTCATCACTATAAACATATTTGACGGGTGTGTGAACAGAGCAATCATCTTTATGTTTTTCAAGTAGGTCTTCACGTATAAATGCATGTAGGCAGTATGGGCATACATATTTAGTACTATGACTCGCCTTATTAATAAATGGACTTAAAGACTTCATTAAGACATAATGACTTCCATTCTCATTTGTAATCAACAATAATGAAACCACATCTTTATTTTTAGTTTTAGTTATTCGAAGTGGGCATAGCTCCAGACAATAATTCAAGCTATATACATTTATAGATATATTATTAATCTTTTCAAATTTGTCGATGTCTTTAATTTTCATAGGGAATTTGATATCTGCGAATTCCAACTCTACTTATAAGTACTTATATCATTAGTCTGCTTAAATCGCAAGTTCACAAGGAATTTAAAAGCAAAGAAAACGCCAAGAAAATTCACCATATTCAATATCGATATGGTGAATTTTCTTGGCGTTTTCTTTGCTTTTAAATTCCTTATTAACTTATATTTTGGATTTCTCAATTTTTCAGGCAATTCAATATAGCTAGAACCTCTTAAAGGTTTGTATTCAACAATTTTAATTGTAAAGTTTAGCAACTTGTTTAATATCCATCCAGAAGAGTTATTCGTAAATTCTTCAATTCTATGTATCAGATTATCGTACAGTCCTTTAATTGTATTTAAATTTATGTGATTCCTTGAAAGTTCTATAAACCTGTCACAGGTTGAAATTTTATATTCAACCTATGATATTGAGCTCTTGTTATATTAAGCTCTACCTGAGGATCGGGTTCTTCGTTGACTAAGGTAGTGAGGGATAAGTAAGACACATAAGTCCAGATAACGTATCTTGTATACGGGGTGGTNCAGGCTTGGCAGCTTCCCTTGACCGAACCAAGGTGAGCGATAGAGGAGCTGTGTTCCTTTATACAAAGCAGCTCGAGACTTTAACCACAAGCCGGAAGATGTTAACAATCAACTGCTCCTCAATAATTTGCCGATATCGGCAAAAGCACTGAGCCATGTATGCCTCACAGCTTAAGGCGGACTTGAAGATGAGCGAGACAGTGGTGGTGCATTGGGAAGAAAAGCTAATGCAGGACCTCACGAACAAGAAGCACGTGGACCGTCTACCTGTCCTTGTCAGCGGGAAAGGAGCCATACCATTCCTTGGTGTTCCCAAGCTCGCCAACGGTACGGGGAGGGTGCGGAGCAATGCCGTCGTCGCGTTTCTGATGGAGTTGGGGATTGAGGATCGTGTGCTGGCGGTTTTTCGATAGAACGGCATCAAAACACCGGGAACATCCATGAACTTATCGTCGGCGCAGCATTCCGGGCGATCATGGGAGGAACATTGGCGCATTGTTGACGGTTTCAGGCCCAGTGGGAGTTTCTGGAGTTTTGTGGGAGTGCTCAGTGGGAGTTTTGAAATTTCTACACATTAAGAACTCTCCATAAAGAAATCAGAGTGTGATGTAGAAGCATGGGAAAACTATATTTGAATTTTAGACCCACTGTGAACAACCCCAATGTTTAGGCCCGTTTCTTTGCTCACTCTATGGACTCAATGACCCTGAGCCATAAAGGTAAAACTTTGTCACCATTAAGCGACCTCTGAATATTAACTGATTTGAAAAATATTTTAAGGATATTATTTAGGCCTCTGGAGGAACCGTTTTTGAGGTAGGAACTCATTTTCAAGAAAAAAAGTTTTTTGAGGACCACCCTAGTGGGTATGGGTATGGGTATGGATGGGCATGGGTATGGGTATGGATGGGCATGGGTATGGGTATGGATGGGTATTGGTATGGGTATGGATGGGTATGGGTATGGGTATGGATGGGTATGGGTATGGATAGGTATGGGTATGTATATGGGTATGAGTATGGATGGTATGGGTATGGATGAGTATGGGTATGGATTGGTATGGTATGTATGGGTATGGGTATGGATGGGCATGGGTATGGATGTCAATGGGCATGGGTATGGGTATGAATGGGTGTGGGTTTGGGTGGGTGTGGGTATGGATGGGCATGGGTATGGGTATGGATGGTAAGCAGACTATGACCGATCAGGATGGTAAATGATATTATCGGAAACCTATGATTTAAGCTGTTTATGCAAAGTGTTACGATGGGTAATATTCGAAATAAGATTGTGAGTAAATGAATAGGTTTTATTCAGGGGTAATTGGTTAATTTTGTTAGACAAGATTCGGGGTAAATGGTTGTGGTGGCCTATGATTTAAGCTGTTTATGCAAAATGTGACGGTACACCTATTATCTATACTACTGCCATGACTGCGTCACGTCGCATGCAATGTACATGAAGGAGATGATCTTTAAATATGACTTCAGACTCCTCGAGTTCTATAACTGAAACATGATAAGATTAAATCTGAAGCCGAGAATAATTTCGTGTTGGCTGTTTTAAATTGAATTATCATCAGCTAAAACATACTTGCTTTCCCCGTGCGCGATCAAAATCAAGAACATATTTTGGTCAAAATTACAAAAATTACGATTTTACAGTATTCACAGGTTGTGAATATGCTTGCAGTATCAACGATTTTTTTCGAATACTTGTCTTGATATCTACTATAAAAACACCACATTTTAACAGCAAGAATAAAATGAATTTTTGCGTGTCAGTCGATCATGCGCTGCATGCCCGACAGCTTCACGCAGCGAGACCTCGTAAGTGTTCGACAGTTTTTTATTGGACTGCGAAGATGAAGAACTCGAGACGAGACTATATATAGTTTCAATGTGAATATGCTTAGAAACGCGTGCCTTAATATGCTAAAAACGCGTGTTTTTCTATGATACAGATACTGAATCAACAAAGAATCAGAGTAATTCAGCGTCGGAAAGAATATACAGCTGTTCCAGTACGGCATAGATCATGGGATGTGATAAACTCTAAATCAAAAATAAAAACTCCTCTTACACGGATCGCGAATAGCATAAATGAAAAGCAACAAAATTAAATTATGGATTTAAATTTATCAAGCAATGGAGCAAGTGTCAATTGTGTTACTCGGAAAAGCTCGAAAGGTTGATGATGGTCGCATTTCTATTTTTAGGTGAAAAAATTTTAGTATTTAAGTTTCCTTAACTTCCAACCACCTCGTTGAGGGACAGTTTTACAAAGCTATTATGCAGAGCTATTATATGAAGCTATTTTATTGAATACGTTAGATGACTACAATAACGCCAAACAGACGGTTCCACTAATTTAAAATTTATTTGCTTCGTTAAATTTTTGTTTTTATATATACGAGTTGAAATATGCTGTCATTGAGTTTTGTTTCATGCAGCCTTTGCCGTCTCTTCAGAGATAATTACACGGTGAAATATTTTAATTAAATTCACAATTTTATTTCTTCTGAGCAGAGACCATGCATAAAAACGGAATTTTTTTAGCCGGTATTCTGGAAGCATGAGACGTTAGCAGACGACGTGAATGAGTCATAAAAAAGTGATTTAGTAACTTCATTTTAATTTCATGGATTTTTACGAAGTTACCAATGACATGATATCGCGATGAACAGTTCCAGCACAGAGTTTATTCAGGGGGCGAAGGGCAGTGAAGACGAGAACTCCAACTCCATTTCGGCTGATGACCAAATTAATTCAATGGAGTTGGAGAACAAACCAGCACCGCGTTTTAATGGCGCAGGGGAAGCATTAATTCAAGAAATTCTTGCTAATAAGTCCAGAAATGGCACGGCCGATAAAAAGCTTTCATCAGACAAAGAATATTCCAACCCGCGTTCTCATGTTTGTTGTTCCTGCGCGTGCGCCGAAGACAATGACGAGGAAAACCATGGAGGAGATAATGAGGACGACGAAGAAGCTTCAGAAAAACTCATCAGCGAATCTTTATGCCCATCAGGCAGTTGTTCCTCCACCCATCCCGACTCAAGAACACGTAAAACAAACGGCCATTTGTGGGTAGGGCAAAACTGTAAGCCAAACACAAACGACATTACCATCCCTGGACCGAAGTTTAGGTTACGAGTGTGTTCCATCAAGTGTACTACTCATTCTGCATCAACCGAACTACCAGGCCTTCAAAATGGCATGCAGAGTAATTGTCTACTGGACAGACCAATAGTAAGCTTGGAAAAGACTCTAGGATCTCTTGACAGTCACACTTGTTCTGCTGCTTCAAATCTAAATTCGTCGTCTGTTCACTTCCCATCAAGAACAGTTGATGATCTATACCTTCAGGTTCCTGGTAAATCTAAGGGTCCAAGATTACGGAAAATATCCATACCTTTACTGAAACCTTCGTCGTCTTCTCTGGAGCTTCCAAACTCCGATGAACGACCGTCTTCTCCAGTAAGGTAAGAACATTTTTATTATTGTTTTAATCATCAATGGAAACGATTCAATAACTTAAATAAAGAATACCTTAATAAAACACAAATTTTTCATTGAAAGTATGAACATTTTTGAGGTTCCGTCAAAGCCTGATGCTGCCATGTTACGCCCCACAGACGGAAGCTGAGCAACGTGAGCGACGTGGTCACGCGCAAGATCAGCAGCACTATCGGCTGGCGTACCGGCAGGGGAGCTGAAGAAGTGGTGCCACAGGCCAAGTACCTCTGTTCACAGTACATCAGGTATCTTTTCATGCCATATCTACAGCAGGCAAATAACCCCCAGCAAGCATGTAATCATATTTAGATGGGTTAAAAGCAATGAAATTTATTTAACAAACATATGGTATAATAAAGCGGTCAGTATAGTATGGTTGTCATTTTCTTTTATTTATTTGTACTTTCTATCTGTTTTTCCACATTTAATATTAATTTAATTTAATAAATGTGATTTAATGATTAATTACGAAACAATACTGGTAGCGTGATTCATTTAAGCGATCAATGCACTTTGGAAGAAGTTTTTAAAAAGCCCCTCGTACAGTAAAGAGGTCGGAGCTGCCAAAATAATGGTTAAAATAGATTGAAATACCAAAAACACCAAAATAATGGTTGAAAGACATTTATTGAAAAAAATTCCGCGCATGTCCTAGACAGTTGGAGCGATACTTGACAATGTTTATTCGCTTGTAAAATCAGAGTAAGTCTCTAAATAAGTCTAATAAATCATATCGCGAATCTTATCCGGCTACGCGACTGTTCTTCAACTCCGAATCCAATACTTTTACATAGGATATAAAAGACATACAATTAATCATTAAAAATTCTATGGGCAAACAAGTTACAAACTTCGGTAGGTAAATTAACGTCTGTGATTTAAAATAACTCATCGATACCCAATAAACGCATTTCAGATTCTCTTCGGTGAACTGATCTACAGAATAAATTCTTATCAACCCTAGGAAAATAGGGATATTTTCAACGCATTTTCTCATTTATGAAAAAATGCACTATTGTGCTCGCCATGTCCATCTGTCCGTCCGTCTGTCTGTCTGTCCGTGACTTCATGTTTTCGTCGACGAGAAAATGCACTCTCTGTCACTCACTGCAGTGAGTACTGAGTTATATTTTTTAGGGTGTTATTTAGAATTCGGATTAGTACATGCTCACAGTCAAATAGGGGGAGAACTGAGAAGGCTTAAAAAAAGGTCGTATCGACGATTACCGATGGACACAAGGAAGGGTTAACAGGGTTTGTAGCACTTACCATCAGACACAAGGAAGGATTAACAGGGTTTGTATCGACGATTACCGTTGGACACAAGGAAGGGTTAACAGGGTTTGTAGCACTTACCATCAGAAATGAGGTAGGGTTAACAGGGTTTGTAGCACTTACCATCAGACATGAGGTAGGGTTAACAGGTTTGTACCGACGCCAGTCACTACAGAGTCTGCTCCGGTTACTACTCTACCCAGATGCTCGATTTTCATGCTCCATATGTAGGGCTCGTGAACAAGTTGTCTCTTTATGTCAGCAGTTTTCATGGAAACATCCAAATTACGGCGGTCTTCCTCACGCTCGCGTCCTGCTATGGTACCACACTTGCAACTACACAAGGTCTCAACTACAATTCAACCATACATCACTTCTACCTATAGAAATAGGATCTATACAGGTCGATATTATGTATCTTCATTGGACTCAGCGAGCCATTAAAAACGTTCTTATCTTAGCGATGTTTCTAGTCAACATATTAAGTTCATCAATAGAGCATCAACATTAAATTCTTGTGATCAATTCTAATATTTATTGGCTATAACTTAAAAGACCATAAACAATATATTTTTTGTGTACTAACTTCTATGAATTGGGGAATATTGAATTTATTGACTGATTCATGTACTTAGCGCAGCTGTAAACAATATGCATTTTAAAAAAACGGTCAAATTTAAACGTGAAACTTCTTCGCATGAACAATTTATTCAATATATATATATTCATACTTGTCTGCCTATATCTTTAACTGAGCATTCAAGCAAAAATATGATTTCTAAAGTGCGTCTAGTTATAGAAGGAAAAACATTCCCAACAGTTTTATTGGTTGGTCAATGAATTGTTTACAAGCTTTTAAAAAGCAGTTTATATGCCACAAACGTCTGCTTGTCAAACGACTTATAAATGTTCTCATTAATATTAAATGTTCTGCTTGTTATTATAAACGACTTATAAATGTTTAAGAACCTGTAGCTGCAATGAAGTAAGCCAATTTGGTATGCAGGTGCCGCCTCAAGCGAGCAGGACTTCTACACAAGAAGATTGGACTTCAGAGGATTAGATCTGTGGTCAACCTCCACTGGGGCTTGGAAGTTTGCGAGGTGAGATGCTGTCTTGTCGAGGATAAAATGTTACGGTCGCAGCTAAACACACTTGTTCTTGCAAAAAGTTAAATTTTTCTCACTATGCTACCGTGTACACTTAATAATTGACTCTAAAGTACTCAGAAATTATTTAATGACTATGGAGAATTGACCAGTCTACTTCTAAGCGTGAAAAAAATCAACTCAAAATTTCATTTATACTGTAATGATAGACCTCGTATTTTAAGTGTCCATTCCAAGACAATTTTTCCCGGCAACCAAATGACTTCTTCTGTTTTAAAAACACAACTGTCTAATTTGGATTTTTTAATTACTTACATATTAGTTAATTTAATTACTGGTGTTTTCTAAGCCGGTAAAAAACTGTCCAGAAAATATGATTAATATAATTTTAATAACGATATTACACACGCCAGTCATTGAAAATATTCGGTTCATTTCGTTTAATTGCTTAAGCAAATGTTTGATTCTGTAAAAATGATGCGTGTGCCACCATCACTTTCATGATGAGCGACTATGCCCAATAAAAATAATTTAACATTCGCCCAAATATTGACTCATTATCTAAACCCAGCATTTGCAAAGAGCGGACGTAGCACTGATACGCCCTTTACAGGACAAAAATGAGTCACGATGAACCTTCCAAAATCAGAGAGTGCGTCGCTATTTGAACACTACCTCTTATTTCTCTGAGTGTAAGATGTTGACCCGTTTTAGGTGTTCCCGCGCCTGCTGACCTTAGGTCACGAGCTGGAACGATGCCATCCTAACCTGTACTGCTCCATCGTGCGCCAGATCTCCGTCTCCCTCAAGTCAGATAAGGTCAAAACAATGTCAATTATTAATGTAATACATCAGTGAAGAAACTGGATAGATTCAATTCCATGAGAGTTCAAAGAAACATTGCTTGCCATCCTAAATGTACTGCTCCATCGTTCGCCAGATCTCCGTCTCCCTCAAGTCAGATAAGGTAAAAAATATACCCATTAATTATTAATGTAATACATCAGTATAAAAACAAGATAGTTTCAATTCCATGAGAGTTAAGAGAAACATTACAAACATTTCTAGAATTTTATAGATCCCGATTTTAAAGTTGAAATTTACCATCTGGTGAAACCCTTTTAGCAATGAGAAGGTCATAAATGAAGCCGTTAAGATGAACGCTCGTTGAGGAATGTAGTTAATATAAAACATCACCATCGTTGATGTTACATATATTATCATTACGCCTTGTAATCAAAAATCATTACACCCACACCTACAGGGCTCGAAAACTATTAAAAATAGTCTATCTTTGAAGGAAGTTAATGTTTAATATTAAAATTGCAAATGTAACACTGTCGAGAGTTGCAGCTTGCGTCCGCACCTGACAGGTTGTGCGGCACGTGATGCTGGCGCTCTCGTCGCACCTCCTGCGCACGGATGTCACGTGGGCGCGGATCATATCCCTCTACGCCCTCGCTGCCGCCCTGGCTGCGGACTGCGTCAGGCAAGGTAACATGCAACTGGCTCTCGGAAATTCCGAGCGTTATTCTTTACATTTTCAAAAGTCTGTATATCAACTATTTCCACATTAGTTGCATAAAATTACATATTGTTTACAGCCCCGTCCAAGTACATGAATTAATCAAGTCAATCAATAATGGAATTCATTCTTGTAATTAGTCTTATTCATGTACGAATAAAGAATTAATTATCATAAGAGTTTGCAACGAAACCTTTTTCATCGATTGCACAAGATGTTATACACCATATGTCGTTACAATGGCAGTACAAGTGTACAACGATGAATTTAATAAACTTGCCTGGGCATCGACTGCGCGCGATGAAACCCATCACGGCATTACATTGGCAGTACTCAAGGAATTTAAAAGCAAAGATAACACCAAGAAAATTCACCATATCGATATTGAAAACGTTTCGGAGTCCAGCTCCATCATCAGTTCGACTAAACTAAAAATGAATAAAATCACTTTAAAAGTCAAAATTCAAAGACAGACATAAAACCTAAACAAGACCTAACATTATATCGAAATAAACAGGACTAGTTATGAACAACTTAGTCCTAGGGGTACGACAAGAATATAAAATCCTAGCGATTTACTATTTCCAGATTATATGAGCTAAACGCATTATTGAGACATGGTTTTCGTTTGAAGATATGTAGAGGCTCCAAAATTCTCAAATCCGAGCAGCCAGAAGTGGAACCGAGTATCCTGTTCCAGCAGTACTGTTGTGATTTAATTTGTAATAATTGATTATTGTCATTTTTGTAAAGCCATTGTTTGGAAGTTTTGAAGCTATTTATACACTCTACCCGCAGGCCATCCAGAATTTGTGAGCAGCGTAGTTGAGGGCGTGGGGATGGCAATCGAGCGGCACTCGTGTCAGTGGATAGCAAGTCAAGGAGGATGGGTGAGTCTTGGTTGCTGGTGTGATTAACGAAGATGACTTTATAAAACTTACTAATTGAAGAATAATTATTGAGAACTGAATGAAAGAAGCGAAAGCTAAGAGGATTATGTAAGTTTGTTGCCTACAATTTTTCATTGACACTGTAAAATGGATAAGAGATATTAAATTTAGATTATAATATAATAACGTCAATGCAGTCAGTGGAACCCTGTCCTACAAACTAAATTTGTACAGGAACTGTTCGTAAAGAGAACTGATTATCCATTTGAAATTAATAGAAAAGTTTCTTATCCGTGTTGGGCCTCCCCAAATGTATTTTCTTACATGCATAGCAGGCTGAAAAAAATTCTGGTGTGACTTAACATCAATTAAATAAATCAATGTATAATGATGACTAAATGTAGCATTTAGATAGGGGCATTACTGGGTTATAAGGAAGGGAAGTTCTTGGTTAAACTAATTAGTTCACCCATAGGAGCTGATCATAATAAAGGATAAATTATTATTAAATATTAAAAAGTAATTAATCATCATATTGCGGGATCATAATTTGTAAACGACTGGTTGTTATGATCATTCATTTAAATTTATGTTGAGGCCACATTATATATATTTTTTGGCCTTAAACTTTTTCTTAGCCATTTTTTGTAAGAAAAAAATTAATAAATTAACATTTTACTTTTTAGGGGACATCAGAATATTTTGTCAGCATTTGATGAATCGATTTTGTGACGCCGAATTTACCTCCTCGCAATAAACTTCACAGTATTTCACTTGTACTCGTGCTGCGTCCCAATAATAATAATAATAATAATAATATTTAACGCATTGCTGGTTGCATTTGACTGATATAGGGAAGTTTGAGTAATGAAACAAATGTGTTGAATGCTCGCCTCGGGCATTTGGGAAAAGCAGAGTGCCAGAAATACACTTGAGTTACCTTGATAGGTTCGTAGTGTGAAGAAATACTCGCGACGTATGGATTAATGATGAATGTACGTTTAACTTGATTTCATTGATGATATGCTCTTAATAATAATTTTATATATTTTTTTTATTTTAAAGATCTGATCCATTCCTACGCGAATTCTTAGACAAATGTGGGAAGACACGGAAATCCGTTTTCGTCCAGTTATCCATTGTAATATTTCATTTAATTAAATTACAAATGAATTGATCGATAGGAGCATTACTACAATTACTGAAGAATTAAATGGTCAGAAGTAACAAGAGGGAAATAAATAAAAATTAAGTTTTGAATAGCTTCAGGATACTTAGCGTGCAGGGTGCATTGAGATTCGAGGAGTGAAAATATTTTAGTTAACAATGCTCATTCGAGCAAGCATTACACTGGTCTGTTCAGTAACTACAAACCTGAGTCACGCCGCCTATGGAAATATATACCAAAAACCTATTAAAATTTCTGTTAAATATTTAATTCCACTTCGCACGTTACTACGACGCGTTGGGGTCTGGCACTATCTGTAGAACAACTGATGTTATCTAACAAATATATGAGAAAACTTTCTAATGCTTTGGTCAAATGTCGAACGTTCCCAATCTATTAACGGGATATTTAAAGCAAACTGAAAAACAAGGTAAAGTTTGAACCAGCCAAGCTGTGTAAACACCTGCCTTTCAATCACCTTGATCATTGAAAAACACGATGGAAAGCGATGTTCTCCGCTTGTTAAAGCTTGTAAGATTTACGCGTTTGAAGATCACAGCGTAGATAAGCAAGGGTGATTTACGGGTCACTCGTTAACGTGCTTCAGCTTACCCTGCCTTCCTCTATGGACTGCATTAAACCATCAAGTTTTAACAAGTACATTTCTCTTGCTGTTCCGCAATAATTCATTGAAATAATATTAGAATGCTCCTGCAAAAAAAAAATATCTCGAACGGAAATTGTACGCGATTCTCGTTCTGCGTTCAAAAATTTACAAATAGAATTAAAAAAGATTACATAGGATTTTGTTAAGATGTTTGCACGATAGTCGAATCAAGAATGGACAGCTGCATGGGACAGCTGAGTGACACAAGAAACAGACTGAAATTCGTTTTCCGCTAATCAAAAGCATCTGCAAATTTAGATTTAAAATTATCAATTTGATTTAACTTCACCTAAAATTAAACTGGCCTCACAAAAATAAGTTAATGACAAGCATAAAGGTTTGCATCGCGTTGATGTTCGAAATCATGGAGATCGCTTTGATTTCTCCAGTTCACACGTGCAAGCAGCGAGAAGTGGCGTGAAGCCTCAGCCCTTCTTTAGCTCGAGTCATTCATTATCTACAGGTAAACCTGACGAATTGAAGGAGCGTGACTTGGATCACCGTCTGCCTGGGTGATCTAACGATCGTGATCGATTCAAGGAAATTTTCGTGATCTGAGTGTGAGTTACCGCCAGCGTTTTGTGGCCGTCGTGTGAACTGTAGTCGTGACTCGTGACCCACGTGTGAGCATGCACGCTTACTTGACGGGAGGCTGGAGTTGCTGCTTCATTTCCAAGCGACAACGAAGAGGAATAGTTCAAGAAAATTTTGAAGTAATGTCTATTTGATATAAATAAAAGTGCTTATTTTAAGGAGGTTTCACCATATGTCGATTTTGTGAAAACCAACAACAGAAAATTCATGGCTTTTTCGTGGTCTGGGGACTCGCAGATCGCAAACTTACCTTGACGCACAGAGCTGCCATTTTTTACCGAAATTTAAGCTTCATTTACAAGAGATTCCGCGTTTCAGAGACAAAAAAGATTACAAACAAATTATAAAGTAGTCAAACTTAATGGTGAAAATGCAAAATGCATCCATCATGGAAGTTTCATTCAAATTTCTAAAAGATTGTCTAGAATAGCCGTTATCTTCTCATTGCCATCTTTTCCTTCGTTCCCTTGCCACAACGAAGCTAATCGAAAACTCGACTAATTCACGAATATCGGAATTCACGCCTGTCTCATCGGTGTAATATTGACGGAAAATTAGTGGAAACTTTAGTCGGCACACGACAGATTGGAACACTTCATAAAATTGTATTTTTATTGGAGTCTGATAATTGTCATAATATATAGAAGCATCGGCAAATCTGTGATTCAACAAATCCATTAAATTTTGAATGGCTATTAATTTTCATCATAACCCTTTATTATCTATTTTTCGCATCTTCTATCAGTCAATCTTCATACATCATTTTCAGTTCTGAAGCTTCTCTTCACTGATCGGCTTTCAGAACACGAACATAACCTCATGGTTGAATTATGCACAACCTAGCCTTATTACATAGCCTCAATCCGAAATCACAGAGATATTGCATTGAGTGGGTTCTTCTTGTGTTCACTTTCTGAGGAGGTTCTTCACCACTCGCCTCACGCCCGGACGGGCGGCAGGGGTTGAGCCGGACATATTCTAATGGGTTCTTTTAATAACATAACATAGTGATGTCGGCGGCTCGGCGCTGAAGTGAGGCTTGATATGGACTGTCGCCGATTCTTTTACTTTTCCTGCCTTGTTTAAAGAAGATCTAAAATCGTGTCATTTGACCGGTTCTTTTCAGGACTGACGATATATGTTTGAAATAGTTACTAGACTTCCATCGGGTTCGATATGGTGCTAGGCGTTTCAAGTCTGAACATATATTTTTCCATAGCTTTATCTAGTCTGTTCTTGAACGCGTTCATACTTTGAGCGCCAACGATGTCATCGGGGAGGCTATTCCACATGTCGGTGATGCGAAGCGAGAAGAAATGTTGTCGCGTGGAGAAGTTGCAACGCAGTTTCTTTAGTTTATAGCCGTGGCCCCTGTTGTTGGTTCTTGTTTCAAATTCTAGTAATCCTTCGGAGACCTTGCATAAACCTTGAGTATACTTGCATACCTCAATGAGGTCCCCACGCAGACGTCAAGAGCCACACGGCATACGTCTTAGCCCCACGGCTCAACCGCGAATGATAAAAATAAACTACAAACTTCATCTCGTGTTCTCTACGCACATTGAATGTTTGAGGACAAAATAAAGTTTCATTGTAATTTCAGCGCTGATCTTTGGCATTGCAGAATTTCCGTTTTTTCATTTGACATATTTCATCATGTTTAAATATAATTGGTCAAGTATTGAGTGCTGGTGTGTTTAAAACATAATGCTTTTTTTGTTTATAATCTCGTCTTGACTGGGTTTTGCCACGTTCTCAGGGCATCCACAGAAGTGTTTCAGTTTCGCTACTCCTTCCTTGAACTTGGATGTAATTTTGCGAAATGGAGAATAATTGAAGATTTCTCCTCTTGCGCAGAGCGGAGTGTTGGTGTGGTCACAGCCGCCGGCGTTCGAGCTTACGCCGATGCAGATGCTCACAATGGTCGGGGCGGCAGGAGTGGGCATCGCTGCCCTCATTGGTGGAGCCTTCAGCCTGCTCGACCACCTCATGTCCTGATGGGCGCGTACTTTCAAGGAATAGATCGCATTGCACAGTAACACTTATCGAACAGCACGAAAGTTACACTTGAACGAATTTCGGGGTCGCTCATCACAAAAATTTGATCGCGCTCATGTGACATAGACGGGGGATACATATTCCGATACAAGTTATCTAAGAAATTCATAGCATGACGCAAGAGGAGTGATACCATTTTAGTTTTCCGATTCGGCGAGTTTTGAAAAGGCACACATTTTTTGTCTGATGTAAAATCATTCGTTATACGTCATATTACGAGTGCATCTACAGCGTTATACGCATGTTTGATGTTCAGAAAGTAATCAATGAAACAGCTATAATTCCTAACGACAATGTTATAAAAACGGTATTCTGTGGCTACCATTTATATACATGAAGTCCACAACCTTTCATCATCGTACGATTCCAGGCTTTGAACAAGAGCAGCCGTCCTGAGAACTCCTAGAACTTTTTCCCGTTTTCTTGCAGAGCTAGAAGCCAATCTAATACAGGCGTTCTCACACGAGATTGCAAAGTTAGGAGAAACAGTTCTAAGAAAATAATGAGTGAGGAGGAGTGATTGCAAGAGGAGTGATTTATCCAGAACGTTAGAAAGTTTATCCATTCCATGAATAGATCGATAAAATGTGCATGAATGTGTTAAAACATGGTACATTTAAGATCTGAAGATAAAGCTTTCAACCGAAGTCGCTGCAAAGGTTATATCTACAATCATCAAAAATATATTTTTCAACAAATTTTGTCTGCTCAAGTTTCCTTAGTTATAAACATCGTGGAACTATTTGTTCACTCGACGTAGACATGAGCATTAAAATGTCACTTGAATAAAGACATTGGAACGAGATTGAGTACTGCCTACAAACCATACAATTTGGCCATTGAAACGAAAATGCTGCGTATAAAATAGTTTATTTAACTGCAAAACTGACACTAACATTTACGATGCAAGTGATCACATCGAACGTGTACTTCAACTGCGCGAAGAACAAGAAAACTGGGGCTGAGAAACTACAACGCAACTCATTGCCGACCTATTCCCAAAATGCAATAAGGATGCGTATTTCTTAAGCTAATATGCTTAAGCATTGGTATGTGGTTCCAATAATTTTTGGACAAAAAGCTAAATCACTTCATTTTTCCCGAGGATAGATCTTTTCAATTAAGAGGCACGAATAAAAATTGCTTTCAAGGCATGAAATGGAATTTCAAGTGTAAAAGCAGTAACATTACGGTTACAAAGAACGTTTCACTGAATGTAAGAAAACGATAACTCCGCTCGAGCTCGTGAAAACCAAAATAACTTTGCCATTCATTTGAAGCTTAGAGAGAAAATCGTACCGAACTAAATCAAAGAAAAAGTTGACATTCCATTACAGAGAAACCACTTGTACATTTTTCCTTTACTAGCAGATAATTAACCTATGTTATCAAAAAATTAACAGGCACCAGGACACCACCAGCAGCAAAATTTACCAGTGGCACAGCGACTTTAACATCTAAAGAAAAAAACATTTTTTACTTGATTTGCAATTACTTGATGAAACTTCAAATTAAATCTTTTTCAGTTCATTATACAATGCCTTCACAAATATGATCAACGCTTGAACTTAGAATTATTTTAATGAGAAAATAAAATTTATCTTCATTATATGAAAAAAACATCAAGAGAATTCGAGACGAGACAATTTAGAAAGTTATGATTAATTAATCTTCCAACATAATCAGGTACAAGCATGACATGAACAAGTTCGAATTTATAACTTTCATCCATAGTACAAACAGCTTCTTTATTTGAGCAAAACTATTTCTTTCTTTTCTCAAATGAACTACACTGAATTACCACGACCAAAAGAAAGTGATGGACATTGATTACAATCAACCTATGACAAATTTGGAAAAACCAAGCTTTTAAATAACATTTTTACGAATAATACAGCGAAATAAAATAGGTACTACACAGAATGATATTATTAAAGTCAATTTAATTAATGTGTTATATTTTACTCTGCCGCGTATTTTATATCAATAATAGACACAATTGAGATTAAATTCAGGCTACTTCCATTGCACTGGCGCTGTTGCTGCTCTCCAATAAGCTTGCTTTAATAGCGTCCATGGCGCTGGTGCTGCTGCCGGCGGTCGTGGCGGTGGTGTTGAGAGACGCATTGTCCGTTGACGTGTTCTCATTGGCTGGAGGGATGTTCTCAGTGTCCTTAGCGTCATCCCAGTCGATCTTGAACTTGGTCACACGAGGTTGTGATGCCAGGATGTTACGTGTAACCTGTTAAATGAAACAACTGCTTATGAAGTTTCATAACGCCTACTATCTAATTTGGGCTGATCGTTATGGCGAAATGGTAACTTAATTTCAAATTTGCCCAAAGATTTTCATAAACGATTAGCTTACACAAAATTGTTTTGCAATGATGGTCATCTAGATGGAGAAAGTAGGACCTAATTGAATACTGGGTCTGAGAACATGTATAACTTTATAGCAGTATGGCAGGAACCATTCTTGCAGAATTTTGACAAAATAAATGTTAGAGAAATTATTCAGCTGGGTGAGATGATACAAAATTCAGAAACCATCATAGATAATTCATTTTATAAAATATAATGTTGCCCAACTCAATAGTGTGAGAACAGAAACCAATATTTTACCGCGTCAAGTTTAGGGACTTCAGGGGGGTTTTCCTGCATCTCAGGGTCGCTGTAGGCGTTGTTTACATAATATCCAACCCTGACAAATTCCTGGCCTTTATAAGAACATGTCACCAGCACCACTGTCACTCCCACCAACTCGCTCTGTGGGATTTTGCTAGCATCGGGAGGATCGGCCTGTATTCAAAATAAAGGCATTAAATATTAAATAGTTTTTAAATTTTAATCCAACAACATAATACAAAATTTTATATATATCAAATATATATTGATATATGAAGAATGTGGAGGAAAGCTTGCATAACCCAAACTATGAAACACTACAAATAAAATAAAGATTGCTTTTATAATATCACAAAAGTATGGATATTTTTGGGGATATTCTATACAAGTTTTCATTTCTAAGTATACCTACCTCAAAAACAAATAGATGTCTCCCTTCTGGCACAGGTCCAACATAGACTGTATCAAGCACTTGATCATGCTCTTCACTCTCAGCACTGCCAACATAGATTATCTTCCATTCCAAATCTGGTGAGCAAGAAAGCTTGGAAACAATTCTTGTAACAGAGATTAAGAAACATGATCTCAAATGTAGAGTAAAAAATTAAACTATTACATTTTTTCACCAAAGTTTTGTTTAAAAAAAAAGTATGTAGAGCAATTTTTTTAAATAAATCTAGTGAACATTAAATTTTTTGGTACTGAGAAAGCCGAGGTCAACATTTTTCTTACCTTCTTGTAGATCCTCAACACATTCAAATGTGATTTCGAATTGAAATTTGCTTAAAAATGTTGAGGGATTCTCCAGTACTGATACATTAACTACATGAACTTTGGCCATTTCTGCACTGCTAAACACACCAAAGAATGAATGAAGTGAAAAGTAGTAGGAGCTGGAAGAGGTTTCTCCAATATTCAACTGTAAAAAAATTAATATGTTATTCAATGAAATTATAAATCAAAGAAAGGATATTTATAATATATGATGCATAAAACAAATTTTGTTTAAAGCATTGGTTGGAGCAGCAGTTGGGGGCTTTACAGCTACCCCCTCTAATGCTTTTAAATGTGCACACACTCACACATGCACTTGCTTGGAAGGTGATAAAATTCTAACTGTGCAAAATTGTTTAGCATTAATTTTTTTGTGATGCACTTACATTCATATTTTTGAGATGTTTCAATGTGAATGATATTTTTGTGATATTCAATAATATTTTGGTGATATGTTTTCATTCAATAATAATTTGGTGATATATTTCCATTCATGTTTTTGTTACATTTTCATTCATGTTTTCATGGTGCATTTTCATTGACATTATCATTCATTCATGTTTCCCCAGGTTTTCATTCATATTTTTGTGATATGTTTTCATTCATGCTTTTGTGACATGTTTTCATTCATGTTATCTTTCATGTTTTTGTGATATTTTCATTCATGTTTTTGTGCTATGTTTTCATTCATTCATTCAGATTTTTGTTATAAGTTTTCATTCATGTTTTCAGAAAATGTTTTCATTCATGTTCATCATTCATTCATGTTTTTCTTTCATGTTATCACTTGTTCAAATTTTCATGATGTATTTTCATTATGTTTTTCCATTTTGATGAGAGACACAGCCTCCGTCTTTTATTTTGCTTACAAAAGAACAGCATGTTCTCATCAGTGTAGCCACTGACAACAAACAACAGAAGACTTATTAAAAAATCTGGGCCCTTTAAAATTACCACCCATTAAAGCAAATGGGAAGGGGATTGGAGGAAGCAGCAAGGGGATCACAGCATGTTTTATGGATCATGCATAGGCTATATATAATTGTTGATGATCTTAAATGATAAAAACACAAGGGATTAGGGAGAAATACCTAAGTGAGAGAAGGAATAGCAATACAAAATACATAGAGCAAGAGCCATTCCATCACAGTATAACAGTAATCATGTGGGCCTAGTCTGATATTAATATTAAAATTTATTAAGTGATGTTCAATGTATTGTTATGGGCTACTTTTTATTATTGAAGAATTTCTACAGGAATAGAATGACATGGAATTAACTACATTTCTTAACCATATTTAATGAATTTCAGACATGGAAATATTCCATTTCAATTAGAATACTCCAACAATTTCATAGAAGACGCCGTGACTCGTTTGTGCCCGGCGGAAATTTGACCACGTAACACCGATTTTGTGTGACTTTTACTGGCTGCGCATCCAACAGCACACACAGGTTAAAGTTGCTGTTCTGATGTTCTGCTGCCTCCTTGGTTAGCACAACCTTATCTCACTGAAGGCCTACGGCACGTGTCAGATCTGCCTTCTAGAAGGCGACTGCGCTCCTCCTTGTAGTCTGACCTCGTCGTCCCGTCCTCACGTCTGTCCACCGTCGGCGACAGAGCATTCCCAATCGCTGCAGCCAGAACATGGAATGGTCTGCCAGCATCAGTGACATCTGCTTCTTTGCTGCCGTTGTTTCGTTGACGCCTAAAAACATAAAAACAGAACTTTTCCGTAGAGCCTTTGAATCTTAGGCCTAGCCGTCACCTAATCTATCAAGGATATTACCGTCAACCGGGGCTACTCGGGACACTTTTGAGCGTTTTTCATTCATAACTTCTTACCATGAAACATTTCATAAACAAATTGTCGGAAAGGTTATGAACTTTTGTGCATATGTCTTCATTTTTATAGGTCCATCCCTTTCTGTAAACCATTGAGAACGATTTAATCTTCACCCTTTATTAAATTTACGTCATTACTGTCAATTCTAATAATTTTATTCAAAGCAGTCATTTAGCGGCCGGGCTGGTTGCGACTTTTCTCACTGCTTCCGAGGCTTTCCCTGCAGCAAAGTAGAGATCTTGCATCTCTGGCCGGCAACAGACAGATTCACTTCAACCTTCACACATTCAACTCGTCCCTGTGTCGTCTCGCGTGGTCTATGCCCGTCCGTTCTGCGTAGTTCCTACTCCGCGAGATGACAGTCCTCAACCTCTAGCCGGTTCTTCAACTGGAGAACTCCTCACCTGCACCCAGTAGGCCTGTTCTTCCCACAAAGAAGCCGTAAGTCGTTAAATTAGCCTGTGCCGCTCTTAATGACTGCTTCTGGAAGAGCCTTTAGCTCGCTCGCTAAGTTCCTCTTAATAAAGTGACATTCATCCAATTTCAATTACATTTATATTTCATCGAAATTTCTAAAATGTTTCATATTCGTTCTCAATGATTTACTGAAACATTTTCTAAATAACGTAATTCTAAAGTGACAATTGATTCTAATTCTAAAGTGACAATTGATTCTAATTCTAAAGTGACAATTGATTCTAATTCTAAAGTGACAATTGATTCTAATTTTAAAGTGATAACGGATTCTAATTCTAAAGTGATAATGGATTCTAATTCTAAAGTGATAACGGATTCTGCTTCGAATTCTAAACTATAAGTGATTCTAATTCTAAAACGATTAACCCTTAATCTCATAGGATGAATGTCGTGACGAGATGTTCATGATAACGGAGGGGGGCACAACTTTCCTCTACCTCTCCAGTGGACGGGCAACTACGGCTTTTGTTTCTTTTTGAATAAATTCAAATTTGAATCTAGAGTATGTCGTTTACCTGTCCTCGCCATGAACTTATTTTCGTCACAAATTTAGGCTCATTTTATAGCTTTTTGCGAGGGCTATCGAATGGCATCTTCAAAAAAATTCCATATGCTATTCGTAAGGTGCCAGAAGCAAAAAAAGAGTGTCCCGAGTAGCCCCGTCAAATGGAGCTACTCGGGACACTGGGAATAAAAACTTCATTTTAAAATATTTGAAGCATGCAGAGCATATTCATTTAAAATATTGAAGCATGCAGAGCGTATTCATTCATTCATGAGATCCCGTCGGAGATGCCAATCTGTTACCGGTGTCTCAACGCGGGTGAGACGAACTCATCGCCTACTTTAACTAACTTATTGGTAACAAAGAACGAGTCCTCCTACTAACACTACCTAATAACAGTACTCTGAAGTCCTCTTTCATTGTAGATGATGTAGAGGTAGAATAAATGACATTTTCTGCAATTTTTACTTGTTTTTCCCTTATTGATATGATATTGCCATATACATTAATTGCCATATTATTGATGTGACATTATTATATTATTGATGCGATATTACCATATCCATGAACATGCCATTGAGCATTTACAACAACCTTGTCCACTGCAAGCTTTATATCAGCAGCCTTATAGCATTTTTTCTGTATCTGTAAGCTTACAGGAAGGCTCGTAATTTCACAACATTTTAATTGGGTTAAGTGAATTTACTATAAAAAAAAGATCATGAAAAACATACCTGAAACAGAAAGGAATGTTTTAGTAACAACCATCATATGTTTTGAAGAAATAAATCATAGTTTAGGTCAACTAATTTTCATTTTATGATGCCTGGTGCACAATTCTATATATGACATTCTATGCACAATTTTGTGATGACCAATGATGCACTAATTTTACAATAAGTGAAATTTTTTGCTGAGTGAGGTAAATGTAATAAATATTCTTTGTTTTCAATCAATTTTTTTCTTAACTGGAACCTTTGCTAACTGAGGCTCTACTGTAAATGCACTTTTGGGGGTGTCCCAAATAGCCCCGGGGGGGTGGCCTGAGTAGCCCAGCCATGCGGAAATGGCCGCCATTTTTTTGGAATGAGATAGGACAATTCCGTCAATTACATTTTCAAGCCAACACCTAGGTGCATCTTTTATGTAAGTAAAATTTTTTAATACGGCGAATATTTTTTTCGCTACAGACCTTAGCAGAAGTAACTTATCAAAATAGTGTTTTTTGCCATTTTTTTCAGGAATTTTTCAAAGCTAGTAAATGTAGTATTTTTTGATTTCCTTTATACTACATAGATAGGAAAAATGTTGACGTTTATGCCACTATATTTTGTTTTGCAATATTCCAATCAGCTTTGCTACTATAACAGTTTTACGCCGTGTTGGAGGACTGTCCCGAGTAGCCCCGCCAGTCCCAAGTAGCCCCGGTTGACGGTACTGGTTTAGCATAGGTGTTGTTTGTTCTAGCACAGACGTCATCAGTCTTGGGATATGTCCTCTGTTTTTGCATCACATCATCCGTTTTTTATCCTCTTGCGTCTTTTTTAGCCACTTATAACGTGCCCTCGAAGTTCAATCTGAAATTGAGAAGCCACGACAATCTCTTCGTGGAATAATAATAATAATAATCATGAATGAATAGAATCTAATATGCTATATTCTAACCAATTTAATTCAAAGATTTGCATTAAAATAATTGTTCATGTGGTAGCAAATGGAAAATTTAATTATTAAGTGCGTTGTTTATGCTTGCATTCTCTTCATATTTAAAACGGTGGAATTCTCAGAAATGGTTGGTCATTTAGATACACCAGGACGGCTGGAGCACTCCAGCACTACTCACTTGAGGAGCGAGGGGGGCTATCTCTCAAAAGTGTCAATTTGGTCAATTTAAATTGACCAGAATTTTCACTATCTTGGGTTTTGAAGTTCTTCAAACAAACCACTTAGTCACTGCTATAATTGTGGTGATAAAATTTTTAAACAAGAAAATTATGAACAAATAAAAGGAAGGGAAAAATTATGATAATTAAGAGATAATTCTACCACTGCCAAGCATGGTTTCTCAGATTTTTGAACGAACAATGAGTTGTTAGGGTTATGTAATAATTTGCATATCTATATAATTTCACCCTGGTATCATTGTAAGTGCCATGACAATTTACAGTAATTGACACATTATTTTGTTTAACACTGGCAGCTGATAATTGATAGGCATATGACATAAAATGCATGCTTCGAAAATATTAATCTAAATTTAATGATTAGGATTAAGTGAAAAAATCCTTGCAAAGTGTGCATAATTGTTTTAATTATTG